CGATGTCCTTTTCATACGTTTCCATCAGCTTAGCAGCCTTCTTCTCATATGTCTGCTTGTCATCTGCTGCAGTATTATTCCACATTTCTCCAAGTTTCTTTGCAACACCACCAAAGGAGAGGCCAGGATGTGTTCCTTTGATTTTTGGGTGATGTTCAGAACAGAACAAGAAGGCTGAAGGAGGCCTCTTGGGCTCATCGGGATCCTTGAACTTCTTTTTTGTTTCTCCTTTAGAAGGAATGTAAGTTTTCATTTCTCTTTCATAACGAGCCTTGTCCGCTTTTGCCATATCTTCAAATTTTCCTTTCTCTTTAGCAGACATGGTCTTCTGCCTCTCGGAGCACTTCTTAGAAAACTCTGAGAAGTTAATGGAAGCATCTGGGTGCTTCTTCTTGTGCTCCTCCTGGCAAGTTTGCACAAAGAATGCATGTGATGATATCTTGCCTCTTGGCTTCTTAGGATCTCCTTTGCCCATGTTTACTTGTTTTCCTCAGCGAGGTACAGAGTCGCCCAGTGCCCGTCGGGCTCTCACTTGCCCCGGCGCTGTCTCTATGGAGCTCAATGTACTGCTCCAATTTATAAATTAAACATTAACATTATATGTATAGAAAACGATTAACAAAAAGCTTGTTACTATTTATAGCTTTAGGCATCTATGTAGAGTCTCAGAATGTATTATGGATAAAATTAGGGATAAAAGGGAGACTACCATTTGATTAATTTCACATCAAAATGCATAAGTTTCATTTTCCATGATACAAATATCACTTTTGATTTTTTTGCTATGCTGAGGATCAAATTCAGGGCCTCATGCATGCTAGGCAAGAGCTCTAGCACTGAGATATATCCTTAGCTCTGCTATTTTTCTTCTGCTTTTTATAACTTTATTTCAACGTAACTATGCTTACAGAAATACACTCATACTGGTTAAAACAATGCAATTTAACTTGGACTATACAATTTCAACCATAATGTTGGTATGTGCTTTATGATTTTAAAAGGATTTGCAATCCGTCTATTACAAGTGTGTAAAAGATCCTCCATGAAATGCTGCTAAAGAAGACAGCAAAAACCTTTAGAAAGGTTTGTCCCTGAAAAGTAACAAATATTGCACTGTATGGTTTATAAAATGGGTGCAACAGAACACTGTTGTAATGTTACACCAGCAGTTTACAAAGTTCAGTAACTACTAGAATTGGAAGTGGGTGGGAGGGAGCCTGTGTACACCCATGGAACTGTAAATCTATATACTTTACTGACATCCCATGTAGATTGTAAATCTACACAAAGAGCCCACTAGTCATAAATTTCAAAGCCACACAAAGGTATCACTAAGAAAGGGAAACACACAAAATGTTTTCTTTGTTCTTTTAATACATACTTCATATACATATACTGTGCTTTCAAAATATTTATATCTTGAATGGCTAATGTACATACAGATGTTATCAGGGAAAAGAATTGACAAAAGTGGAGGCAGGAATGAGGAAAGGGTTTCCACTGAGGGGTCAGTCATGGTTCCTGCAGGAGACTAAGATAGATGTAAGACTTGATTAGGCAGAGTCAGAAGCTGAGGCCAAGGGGAACACAGAAAGGAAATTTTGTGCAAAGGCATGAATCTGCCACCCAGAGAGTTGTGTCAAGGAGGTAGACATGATTTAGTGTGAAGGAAAGTAAAAGTGGATAGATAAGTATTTGAGCATGTAGTCTGAAAGTCATGGAAAAACTTTTATTGATATTAAATAAGGTTTTCCTATTGGTCAGCAGAGGTGTTGTAATTAACTAATGGGCTACTTGTAACACCCAGCTGAACTAAGTCAGGGTGGTCCTGAGTGTGCAAGGACAACCTGAGGATCATTGCCAACAGTATAAAAAGAAAACTTGGGTGGACAGTGGTGTGCTACTGTTCTCCTGGAGAAGCTTGTCATTCTGATTTTCCTGTTATGAGCCCAGCTATTATCATTGTCAGAGGAGGAGATTAGGTCCTTCCTGTCACCAAGGATGTCTGCAGTTCTTTTGGTAGATGGGGATCCATGACCTTTATCTTTAGTGTTGCTTCATAGCTCTTTGGAATTGTATGAATCATTGTCATGGGCTTTGGGCTTTCAGATGGACTCATACAGGACATTGCTATGGGATCCAGGCTCTCAGAGTTAGGGGTCTCTAGTGTGTCAGTTCTTGGGCACTCTTCTGTGTTTCATGTTTTGGGTTACTATGATGAAATAGTCCTATAAATTTTGTGTCCTGTATTAAATCTATTCCTTTGAAAACCCTGAGTACAATATGAGGTAAGTTTGGTTTAGACTATAACAAGAAGGAATGTGTTTGTATAAGTTGTATATAAAGAGATTATATGTGTGTTATGAACTAAGCTTCAGAAGCAAGGGAAGAAACCCACACATGAAAAGTTGTGCAAGCAAAAGAAGTGCTAAGATGAGGCAGTGCTAGTAGACAGTCCAGACAGAGAGTGGGGCTTGTGTGAGGGGCTGGTGAGGTCCAGAGAGCCTTTAGTTTAGGACGTGCGGCCTCTGGGGACTCAAACATAATTGTTTAATATTAATTTCATTTTAACTAGAATTTATTGGGCTTACTTTGCACAATTTAAGAATCACCAAGACTGGGTAGCACAGGATTCCAGCTAGAATGGCAAATGTCTATTTCCTAGAAAGGAAGAGACTAAGCCATCTGCAAAACTTATTTCCTTATTAAGACACTATGAAAACATGAAAAGATGTTTAAGAGATATCACTA